CTACCTTAGAACAACTATATGTTCTAAGGTCACTACTCCAGTGCAGTATCCAGCAAAATGGCGGCTGCACTAGCTACTGCACTGAAGACTGAAGCCACTGAAACGAAATGAATGGAAACGCACCCAATTGTATGTATGTAACAAGTGTTTCGTACTTCTATTCGGGATATTGGCCTGGACAAGAGCGACATCTTCTATTGGTGTCTGTCCGACGGAATTTTTTTACAGCAGTTCACTGCTGGTTTTTGAAGTAAATTCCGGAGTAATTTCGAACGTGCGAGCATCGTGAGCACATTAGCCGCGTGAAATAGATGGCGTGTGCGAGTACCGTGGCTAGTGTGGCTACAGGAATAGCGGGATCAGCGGGTGGAACAATTCCCTTCGAGAACTCGAACACTAAAATCGCACACGAATATGACAGATCAGGACAGGAACCCGGAGTCGACCACGGGCACCACTGCGGAGCAAGCGGGCGCACGACGGAAATTTAGACTTGGAAATACAGGTGGAAAACTCGCAACGCTCCTTCGGCGATGCGAGAGTAATCGGTATCAGGAGTACAAGAAGGAAGACCCGACGAGCAATACTAGATCGATAGAGCATAGATTTAGAGGCTCATCGAACAGCAAGCTGTCATTCCTTGATTTTGTATGTAACGTCAAGAAGCACTTGCTACTGAAGAATCTATGTAAGTCAAAAAAAAAGGTAAGTTATTTTTCTTCATCATTCCTTGCTTTGTCTGAACCAAAATTTCTTTATCTTCTTTTGTGATGATTATGTTTTGTCTAAAATAATTTCTTCTTGTCATCCTTTTTCAGAACAAAGAGACAGAGACATCGATCCCTTGCTCTAGTACAAAGCATAACGTTATATCCGTTATTAAGTCTTTTAATTCTTGTGAAAAACGAGACCATCATTCAAATGGCGAACAGGCCTCATCAGACAGGCTTTTGTATGAAACCAGATTAGGTGACATACTTGAAAATTCCTGCCACATTGAAGAAAATATAGCTAATAGCATGCAATATGGTATAACTGACACAAATCGTCATACAGTTCCTATAAGACAGCAAAATAAACTGATAAGCAACATTACAACTGTCAACAAAGCAACAGTATCACAGCCTACTTATTCTGATGCAACAGTGGCAGTTCTTAATGTAATAGCAGATGTTCCTGGCAGTATGAACGAAACATTAAATAATGAACATAAAGTTAAAGCGAGTCTCGCAAAGGAATTGCTTAATCTAAGCAAATATGGATGGTATTGGGGACCCATATCGGGAGACGAGGCTGATGCCAAACTTATATCTGAGCCAGATGGTGCATTTCTGGTTCGGGATTCGTCAGATGATAGGTGCATATACATTAGATAATTTGACTTTATAGAATTTTAAATTTTCATGCACGGTAAATAAAATTCTATATGATTATCTGTAGGTATGTCCTAACACTCAGCTTTAAATCATCTGGAAAGATGCTGCATGCACGAATGGAACACAGTGGTGGCCTATTTTCTCTGTGCAATCAAAGCACTGAGAACGAAGGCTTCACTTCAGTGGCTGCTTTAATAAATCACTCCATGAACTTCAGCCAGTCAGCAGTAATTTGTTATTCAAGGCCAAAATATCCAGGATATCCGTCGTTTCCAGTCAGATTAACGAAACCAGTGAGCAGATTCACGCAAGTAAGGAGTCTGCAATATCTTTGTCGTTTTGTCATTCGCCAGTATATTAGATTAGATAATATACACAAGTTGCCTTTGCCAAAAACTATCAAGGGATATATTCAAGAAGCGCATTATTAAAATTTTTTTAACAGATAAAGAAATAAAGAATGTTAAGGTTAATAATAAAATTATTTTCATCAAGATATATATATACATATATATATTAATAAAAGAGTGGTATAGACTTCTAAGATAAAATGGCAGCAAAAGTATGTGTGTGTATACACCTACACACACACGAGAAATTTTTATATTTTCTGATATTTTTAAAAAGTATATAATTTTTCTCAAATTATTATTAAAAAATTTTTTTCATTATCTGATATAAAAAAATGTAAAACAAATAAAAATTATAAATTATTTAAAAAATTGAATATTAATGTTGTTTTTAAGTATACACTATTTTTGTTAAATTAAAAGAGAATATTTCATATTTATTATAAATTACATAATTCTAAGAGAAATTTGCAATAAGATTTCTATAAGTAAATTATTATGTATGGATGAAAAATGTAACTTTTTCAACTATTTTATGATAGCAGAGTATAAAGTGTAACAGGATATTTATGTAGCTGATTCTAGTTAATTATATGATTACTTAATTATGATAATATGCAGGGTAAATGAATAATTGTTTTTAATCTATTGTTAAAAGAATGTTGATATAGCTTTATGTAATCAACAAATTATATCTTTATATTTTGCATGGAGATAATATAGATTTACTACCTATTTCATTGTACAGATTTTGTTAAAATATATTGTATTACTGTGTAAAATAAAATAGTTATATTTGCTACTAGTTCCTTTCTTAACAGTATTTTTAATACAAAATTAACAAATTAAATAAACTTCTCTCATAAGACCCTATGCAATAATAATAAAAACCAGAATAATAAAAGAAGTATTAGCAACAAGAATAAATAATAATATTAGAGAAATATATATATTCAACAACTATAATATAAAGAGATAAGGGCAACGAGCCAATAATTTCGTTAAAATCTTTAAATTAATCTAATATATTGCGAAAAATATCACGTAATTATGGTGTTTCGTCCCAGCTTCCACTACTGGACATCGGTAAGGCATTGTAGTGGAAGCCTACCTTATACGCCTGAAAGAGTTATTTAGTTGAGATTCTACATAAAGAGATATACGCGTATCAAAGCACTTGCGAGAATTTTGCGAATATCTATAGATCCCTCTGATGGCGGGTCGACGTAGTAATATTCTTCGCAATATTTATCTAAAATAATATACATATATATTCCCCTCCCACTCCCCAACTTGCGCGCCGAACAATCGTCGGTCTTGAAACGCAACTCTATCTGAAAAGTCCCCCCAAATTGCGCGCCGAACTATCGTCGGTCTTGAAACGCAACTCTAATAATCTGAAATAACGTCCCCTTAATCAACTTGTAATTTTAAACGCATCTTTTCGCCCGCATAAATTAAAATGTTTGTGATAAGGCTCAATATGTATTCAACAAGTAATATAAAGAGATAAGGGCAATGAGCCAATAATTTTGTTAAAATCTTTAAATTAATCTAATATATATGATATATGTATATATAAACATAATTAATACGAATAAGAAGCCTGTAACAGTCTAGCTGAAACTTAGTTGTTTATTTATAATTTTGCAAGAATTTATATACTGATATATGTAGTCTTTCTAAACTGCGCGCCGAACAATTGTCAGTCTTGAAACGCAACTTTAAATAAACTACCGCAGTACTATCACGAATTAAATTTATTAACAATTTAATAATTAATTAATGCTCTTTTGACATCTTATATCGATGTTAACTATATCAAAATCTGAAAATAATAATTCTTACTGCAAAAAATATTACCTTGGCCAGGAGTTGAACCCGGATCGTTTGCTTTACGCGCAAGTGTCCTATAGGGCCACTGTCACCAAGCTTCCATGGTGTAATAAGTAAGGTGAACCATTGCGCATAATGGCGAAGGTTCGTAATCTTGACCAATCAGAGTTGTACTATTTTGCGGCGCGAACTATCGATATATTTGAAAATTGAAGAGAGGAATAAGAAAGTGTAATAATTTTTAAAGGGGAATCATAGTAATTTTTCATTAAAAAATCGACTTTCTTGTTGTTTAAAATACTCTGATGTAGATATGGAAAATTAATGGCTATGCAAAGAATAACTCATGAGTAATTCGATCTTTCTAAATTAATTTGGCACAAATTTGATAAAAACTCAGAAGCTGCTTACATTCAAATACATTTGAATTTAGAAAAATCGTTTTGGCTCTCCTTAATCACTTTAGCTTCCCCCCTAATAAAAATACAAATACGGCGATTTTTGGTGTACTTCTGGTATAGCAACTAAAAGCAATCGCAACTAAGGCTATCTGAAAAAATATACGGTAATATTAAAGCTACTATTAAGGCTCCTGAATACTCAGCCAAGAACTCCGTGTTGATGGGTAGCGACACCGAATCAGTCGGTGGCTAGCAAAACTGGTAGTACGCTACTGGTTATACACACAATTGCAAGCTCATGTCCGTGTGCTCATTTTCGGGTAGAAGGGGAGCGCACAGACATGGGTTCATGCTTGTGTGTGTATATAGCGCCTCGCCATGGTAAAAGTCTGAACTAATAGGCGTGAAAAAGTGATGTTTTGACGACAAATTTTTTCTTGCGTGCCATTTTGTCAATATTTGCTTATTTGTGAAAATGTGACTTCCCTCGTACTCGTGAAAGTCCTAAAAATTGGCGGAAACTGCAGTTATCGTGAAATTTTATACGTAAAAGCGTATATTTCACTCGTTTCATCAGCTGTCAAAATGTGTGATTCTGCCCGAGTATAGGCTCACTTTACGTGCCTTTTACGACCATTTACTGACTATCAGAGGAGGAAAGGACAGTTTCCGCCAATTTTCACAAGTGTTTTTGAGCGATCTCGCCTTTTAAATTTATCCAAATTGTCTTTATTAAAAAATGGGACGCAAGAAAAATTAATGTGTTTTTCTCGCCTATGACGTCACAATTCCAACATGGCCGTCGCTGGTATTCAGGAGCCTTAAAGCTATTCGCGCTTACGCTCTCTCAACCTCTCGTTATCTCTCTCACTTTTTCGCTCTCCTCGCAATCTCGCTCTCTCGCTCGCTCGCTTTTTTTCACTCTCTTTCTCGCTCTCTCGCTCTCTCAGTAGCACACACGCTCTCTTGCTCGCACTCTCACTCTCTCGTTTGTTCCGTCGCTCTCTTACTCGCGCTTACGCTCTCTCGCACGCTCTCTAAATATAGGCCCGTTGAGCGTCAAAATGTGCTATCAGCCTTGTCAGTGCTGTGCTATAACCTAGGTTTTTTCGCTCTCCTTCTCGCAATCTCTCGCTCTCTCAATTGCACTAACCCCCATATTCTATAAATTGTCACTTTTTTCCATTGAAAAAGCATATTACGTCTAAATGGTCTAAATATAATTTAAAAAATCCAATTAAAAGTAAAATCGATTTGTTTTCTAGTAAGCGGTCACCATCTTTGTGAGCGTAAAATGTTATCATATCCCTAGAGAAAAGTAAGTCTTGTAAGTAACCTCCAATTTCGATAAAATTAGACTCATTCGACGCGTGTTTGCATAAAACGGAAGAATACTACTTGATTGGCTGATGGTCCCCACTACTTTTAACCCACTGCGCATCCATCGGAATGGTTCACCCTTAGAACATATAGTACTGGAAGGAGTTTGCCCCGCGAACCGAGATATTAAGCATTAAAGTCACGACTATTCAGGTTAAGAAATCTGTCACAGTCCTACAATCACCTGTCTCTTGAAAGTGAAGGCGAGTAGATTGACAGAGAGAAATAGATTAAGATCGTAGTTGGTAATTTGCAGGCTTCCAACTGAAATTGGGTGCATTCAGTACTACAACCGCTCACTAAGCGCTCAGTGAGCACCCTATTTCCATCTACGACACAGCAATCACCTCATCTTTATTTAACATTAGCGAACGACAAGGATGCAACAATTGCCGTGTCACACCACGGAGGTAAAGGAGAGAGCATAAAGCGGGGAGCACAGACTTTTGCATAACGCATAATACATATATATAAGGAATTTCATTGGCCCATTTTCTTATGCATGAGTCAATGGGCCAATCAAATTCTTTATGTATATGGTTTATGCGTTATGCAAAAGTCTGTGCTCCCCGCTTAAGCCTGTATTAAGGGCGAGGGGATTGAAGCCATGGCGGGGAAGAGAGGTAAGCCTTCAGCCATCTTGTTCGGCGACATTAGTGCTGCTATCTAATGCATAGAAGCGATACTAACTACTGGAAACAATAATCTGAACAAGTGGTAAGTGGCTATGTTTATACCACGAAGGTTTATACCGAAGTGTCTTTATTTAATCTATATGTTAAATAAACTTATAAGTATATTTATAAATGAGATTTTACTATTTTACAATACGAATATACATATATATATTAAGCTATAATCGTTTGTTGTAACAAGACTATGTTTGGTTTTGTTAGATTTTTCGTAAATTCCATTATAAAGAACTTACATTATTATTGTTGTACTTACACATGTGAAAAGTTATTTTCTGTTTTATCTCGATTCTTTTCCGTTTATCTGATTTTTGGAAGGTTCTATTGCAACAATTTTTTAATATACACGCATTTTTATCTAATAATATTTATACCGTATGCTTAGGCCCCGACCTATACAATAGGTGTCCTTGTTTAACATATAGATTAAACAAGGTCACTTATCGTATAGGTCGGGGCCTAAACGTACGGTATAAACCTCCGTGGTATAAACATTAGCCACTTACCACTTGTTCAGATTATTGTTTCCAGTAGAGACCTAGAAAACAGAGATGCGTCATTGAAAGGTATGGCTTGATTGGCTATCTAAATCACGTGATCAGAGAGCTATTTTAATTCACTATTGCATCTAATAGATATAGTTTTAAAACGTATATATATATAGAGAAAAATTTAGACAATACAGTGTCGAAGTGCAATAAAAAACTATTATTATGGTGTAAGTATTCTTATTTGTGTGAATATTTAATATCGGACTTAACCTAACCTAATCTAATCTTTCT